CCCCAAAACCCCAAAACCCCGACAATGAGTTTTTAATCTAATTTTGAGTAATTTCAAATTATTTTCTTAATTTTCATTAATATATTTATAACTTTAATATATTGTCATATGAGTACGCCTTAAGTCAAAAGATTCCCAATTTTCTTAAAGAACGATCAAAGTCACAACCCCCATTATGAAGGTCACTTTCAGTAGGAATCATTGGCAAGAGATCTTCGGAGAATATTTAAAGATGAGTCAGAGGAGGAGGGAGATAGAGTTAATACGCTTTCTTATAAAAATACAGAATGTTACACCCTAATAAATTAGAAGGATCCCGAAAGATAGTCAAAAGAATAGATCCAAATGACCTCCTCTGTTTACTCTCCTGTAGATTACTCACAACTTCTACCGATTAAAACAGAAAATTGTTAGAACCCGACTCCAACATTGCAAGGAGGCTCTCACTCTTGGGAACCTCAAACATTAATTTTGTAAAATTAGCAATCTCAATAATTACCCCAACAATAATAAAAATAAATATCCAGTAGTAACACAAACATGAAAAAGGAAGGATTTGTTAATTTAGTGGCTTTTCCTGCAGAATTCGCAAACGAAGATGACGCTCTACTTTCATATAATAATTATGGACAATGGCACAAGATATAATTTAAAATTGGATACAGAAAACGAAATGAAGCTGGTGTAATGGTGGGATTTGGATTAGTATGCACCAAGAGATAATTCAAATCTTTCGGCAAAAATGTTGATTAAGGCCTTAAATTGAGAGATGATTGCAATTTAAATTGCCCTGTAATTGTCAGATTTAAATGGAGAAATGACAAAAGGAAATTTGTTAGATCTCCTAGAATGATGATGCATCACTCTCACACTTTAGATATTAAAGAGAAATCAAACATCAATAATAAGCATATTTAGGCAGAAATTTAGACTTATGTGGAGTGCAAAATTCCACCGTATCAAATTCACAAGCTAATAAATGAAAAATTTTAGACTAATGTCAATTTTGAACACATATATGGATTAATACTAAACATTCAGTCTCATCAAAGCAAAGAGACGTAGTCTGATATAAAATAGCTAATAAATTTGCTTGAGTAAATCAAAGTTAAGGATGATAACTTAAGATTTGCTTATGAATATGATGAGGGAGAATTTTCAAATGAAATTTCTTAAATGATGATCTAGACCTCAATTATGCGCCGAAATTACCGATTGTATCATGATGTGATGTTCATGGATGCAACTTACAAGACAAATTTTCATTCTTTAGCCTTGACCGTATTCTCAGGTGTTAATAATGAAGGAAAAAATGTTGTACTTGGTTTCGCCTTAGTGAAAAGAGAAACGATGGATACCTACAAATGGCTTCTTAAAAACCTGAAGAGATTTAATGACGATATAGAGCCTGGCACTCTATTGACTGATTTTGACCCATCAATGTGTGGAGCTATTGAAGGAGTGCTTAAAAATACTCAGCATTTACTCTGTTAGTGGCACATGCAACAAAATTTCAAGAAACACTTTATGTTTTTAAAAAGGATTCATTAAGGCCAAGCAAAATTACTTTACAAATATATAGTTTATGATCTGATTTATGAAGAGAACTACTAAAAGTTTTAAACAACATTAAACATTATCTTTCAACATGCAGACCTCGTCACTGAAGCAAAACTTACATATTTAAGGAATCTAATGCAAATAAAGGAAAAATGGACAACTGCATATGCACCGGACATCTTTTTAGCTAGAACTCACACCACTTCGAGGATTGAGTCCATAAACTCCCAAATAAAAGCTAGAGTTCATTCTAGATCTACTTTAGTTGAAATATTTTAAATGTTTTAAGACTTGGAATAAAGATTGCTTGATAGGATATAGGGTGAACAAAGGAACGAACTTGCCTTGCACATCAACCACCCCATGCTAAATGAACTTTATAAGAGATTCACCAGGTATGCCTTTGAGTTGATGTTATATGAATACATGAATTCACATGAATATTAAGTATACTGTGATCAAAAGGAAAATATAGCAAATGGTCTGCGAGACGATATGTTTCAAGTAATGGATCATAAAGAAAAATAAGCATTTCAAATTCAGATTAGATGTAAGAGTATTTTAAATTACTTCAAAATATTATAAATTAATGATAGTCTCTAATCTAATATATAGAACTTGATTCATCTTAATATGAAGAACTATTTGAAATAACTTGTAACTGTAAGTTCTTTCAAATAGGGAGGCTATACTGTCAGCATATATTTACCGTCCTCAACTACCTACAAGTAAAGACTCTATCTCAAGTAAAATGTTACGAAAGATGGACTAAGAGAATTTAATGGGAAAACTATGCAGGCTAAGATATGGAGATATAACCCTTTTGCCCTGTAATGGAGAGAAGGATCTAAGAAATTGAGTAGAAACCTCTCAAAAATCTTCACTATTAATATCAAAATGACTCTGAAAAGAATATAGATAACTATTTCAATAGGTCTTATTGTCCTAATCCTGAACCACTACGATTAAAGCAAGAAATTGAGACTGCTGAATACGGAACACTCAAAATACAACCAAAATATGAGCAAAGTAAAGTCCTAAAACTAGAACGACTCAATGCTGAGTCTACTTACTGCACTTAATTTGAGAATGCAGATACTCAGTGCTCTAGTACGACAAGCACGGTAAGGAAGTACTATGAACCAGGGAATATAAACAGCAATTGCTTTTAAAATAGCAAAAAGATTCTTAAGTCTGAGTCTCCCTTCTCTTATGGCTTAGGCTCAGCAATCATGATGAAGTAAGAACTCAACTACCTGCAATAATAAAATAATTTAAAAGCTTCACATGAAATCAAAGCAATGGTGCATACTACCCCTTTAAGCTCAGTCGTCAATAATAGCTATATCAATTATTATTGATAATTTGAATGGTAATCTATAAGTAACCGTATATGTGTAAAAATAATTAATTAGATAAATGCTTAGTTAGTATTAAATTGATTGAGTTGAAATTATATTTAAACTAACAACAAATTAATCTTGATTTAATAATTCATCTTCCGATCATCCTTATTTAAAAAATATATATTTTTTGGGGTTTTGGGGTTTTGGGGTTTTGGGG